CCAAGGGTTGCAATTTCCCCCGAAAGGAGCCGGGCGGCCAGCTTCTGGCGGAGCCCCTTTATTGGGGCCGGCGGGCGGGCGGGCGCTGGTGGCTCCGCGTCCTCAAATAAACGCTCGAAAGAGAGAGAGAGCTGCTTTTCGGGGGGTCGCCCGCTTGGCTCCTGCCTTTGCTGGGTAAAGGCAGCTGTTGCTGTTTGAACTGGAGGGCGCAGAAGGGAAGGAAGGAAGGAGGGAGCCAGGATGTAACTCTGGGAACGTATGGCGGGGGAAGCCATGTTTGATTCATTCTCCAGCAAGTAAGTGCTGAGGTGATGATGCGACTGCGATGCATTTGGACCCCCCCCCCTTTTTTTGCTGGTTAGGTTTTCAGAAAGGGATAAGAATGGAAGCGGTTGTGAGGGAGCCAGATAAAAAAATCTCTCGCTTCTAAGCTGCAATCCTGGTTTTAAAGTAAGATGACCAAGCCTCGAAGGCATATTCTTGGTCCCAAGTGCGGGTGGTCAGCGAGGCTGTACGCTGATTCTCACGGTAGGGGAGAAGTAAATGATGGGAAAAGATCCATCCAGGGGGGAAAAATGCCATAAGGTATATTGATTTAGGCTTCAATATGTCTGATTTGTTAGGAAGCGGCTTTCTGAATATCGTCATAAACCAGTAAAATCCCAAATACCACCCATTTCATGAATCTGCAGTCTCACCATGCATAGATATGTGCAGTCCCGGTATGTGCATATTAATTTGGATTTCATGACTAGAAAAAAAAATTCGTTAAGGTTCTAAAGCCTAGGCTTGAGCTGTGGCAGATAAAAGAGTAAGCCATTACAGATGCAAGCATGCTAAGATTTTGTAAGATAACGTGTTTCACTTCAGAATAGAATATATAGGTTGGTTCTTCATGCGCCCTTTGCAGCAGCTGTGGAGCCTTTATTTCATAAACCACATAAATGTCTGAGGTCCCTTACAGCAGAGGTGGAAAACTTGTGCTCTCCAAATGTGAATTGGAGTGGAACATCACCCAGGGACCATGAAGGCTCTGGACTGCTATTGTGTGCATTGCCACAGGTTTGCATGGAGTGGGATGCGTGCAAGAATTGTGGCACAGTTAGAGGGTGTGGAATTGGTTAATGTGGGTTAAAATGTGGAAAGATAGAATGCATATTTGAAATCTGCTTTAAAAAGGGTATCTTTCATTAAGTCATTTTTAGCTGACGTCATACGGTATACTGAACAGAATTCTATAGGCAGTTTTACCTTTGTGTAGGGGAAATTGTGCAAGTCTTTGTGGTAAATTGCCGCTCATTAACAAAGTGCCAGTTAAGTCCCTTGGTGCACCCAGTCAGTTGATTGGTTGCATGCCTAGGGGTGCAATCAGCACCTCATGAATGAGTGACAATTTGCCATCTGGACTTACACAGTTTTCTTTACAGATGTGTAAATTATTAGTATGATTCTGGATGTTAGAAATTAAATATTCCCCCCTCCAAGTATACTTAATTTCTTACCGACTTTGTAGAATTGATTCTGATTTTATGGTGGTTTTTTTTAGTCACTGTTATTGTTCCTTTAATTTTATAATTTAAACCATATTATTAGATTTTTGAAATGTGTAAATCATATGAAGGACTAATATGAAAAAGTGGCATATAGATGCCATGAATAAACATTACTGAAAGTAATTGCTTGTGTATCCTGTGATTATGAGGTCTGGTTTTTGTCAATTCTGAGCTTGTTTTAATTTTTAGCATCCTAAAATATTCACTGGATATATCCCTTATATTAAACAAAAAATTACAAGTGATGTCTTATGGTTTCAGTTGCACGCATTTGCAACTTCAGAGTAGTTGTCATTGGTACATTATTCTGGAGTGAGACTGAAAGCACAGTATGTCTATGTTTATTCACATAACGGTGCTGTTAATACAGACGTACTCAGATGTAACTATTGCTTTATGGTGTCTGCTTCCAGGCAGGCAGTATAGGATTGCAGCCCATGGAATACAGTGACTGAAATCCAGTAGCAGAACTTAACACTGTGTAAGACTGGTGATGTCATCAGTTGTGTGTTTTTTTTGGGGGGGGTTCATAAATGTAAAAAATCCCATGCCCCTGAAGATCTGGACACGATCTTGGGATCCCTTTCATCCTGCTAAAGCTGTTGCAGGCCTTGAGAAGGGGGAGAGAAAGCCTTTAATTTCTGAAAATTGCCACTGCTAGTAAAATCGGCCTGTTGGCAGTGATCTAAGAGTTTCCCCAGGACAAAAGGGATCCCAAGGGATCCTTCTGACTGTCTCATAGGCCTTACATCACATACGTTCTACTACTAAATTTCAGCCAGTGTGACCGAATTTCTGAATAAATATCAATGGAATTTTTCAACTTGTTAAAAATGTGTGTCATCCTCTAACTGATTGATATTATCAGGACTGTTTTATTCTTGTGTTCTAAAATCTGTTCTAAATTCAAATGGCACCCATCCTTCTGAATCAGCCTGAGATTTACAGTAATCTGAATGTAATCTCAGTTGTTGTTTGCCTTATGCCCTGTATTTTTTAGGGTTCTTTTTCAATAAAAATAGATTTTAGGAGTAGGTATTGCAGTTTCATGCAATTGTATGTTATTTCTAAATACATCTAATTGGAAGAAAGTTCTAGTGAACCTTATTTGGAAGGTTAGCATGAATTTACTCGGGCAGTTTAAACTGATCAACCTTATTATTTCTGAAGTTAATATTATTTTAATTGACACATGCAGTGCAGCATGGAAATAAATCAATAAAAAGAAATGTAAACAGATTTTTAAAAAATTTAATTGGCTTTTTAAAAATATTTATTTATTTAAATTTAATATGCAGTTCTCCTGGTGCTATAGCAATGCTCTAGGCAGTTCGTAATAAAAACATAATGCAATGAGTAACATTATAAAACCATAAACAATCTAGTCACATAAAGACAGAAGGCAACAGCATCAATAAAGTTACATGGTACAAAAAAAGAAACCAAAATATAGGTAACAAATGACTGGACGGAGATGTAAGATTGCCTCTTGCTTTTTGCATAAAAAACTGTCTAAAGATTGTTTTGTATTTGGGATGGAATATAGTCTAAAGTTTTTTTCATAATGGAGAAAGATTAATTGTGTTGTATGAGACTGTTTACCTTACAATCTTTTAAAAAATGTAAATGTAAGATTATTCTGCATATGTTTTTCTGTCTAGAAGATACCATCACAGATGTTTTGTTTTGCAGTTCCCAAAACTGAATTTGTGGCTCCTGGGATAACATGCTTCTTAGCAGCAAAGATGCCTTAAAATATAGCCAATTAAGACAGGGACCTGGATCCTATTGTTCCTTTGCAAATTTGTATCCAGAGTTAACCCCTTACCTCTTAAGTACCATAAGAGGTTCTGTGAATAGGCCATTTTGGGTGGAATAGATATGATAAAAAGGAGATGTTAACAGCTGAAATAAAATAATTTATTTTGTGATGTAACTAAAACTAACCTGAAATGTTTTTATTCTAAAAATTAAACCTGGGTTATAAATATTAATTTTGCAACAACCAGTAAAATTGAGCTTTTATGTAGAAAACTGTGATTTAAATTGAGTCTTACTGACTAGTGATTTACATAACAATAAAATTGGAAACTTCCCTTATACCATGTTGCTATGGAATAGAGCTTGTTATTGTTACATGCTATCAAGTTGCCTCTCAACTTATTGTTGTTTAGTCATTAAGTCGTGTCAGACTCTTCGTGACCCCATGGACCAGAGCACGCCAGGCCCTCCTGTCTTCCATTGCCTCCCGGAGCTTGATCAAATTCATGTTGGTAGCTTCGGTGACACTGTCCAACCATCTCATCCTCGGTCGTCCCCTTCTCCTCTTGCCTTCACACTTTCCCAGCATCAGGGTCTTTTCTAGGGAGTCTTCTCTTCTCATCAGATGGCCAAAATATTGCAGCCTCAGCTTCAGGATCTGTCCTTCCAGTGAGCACTCGGGGCTGATTTCCTTCAAAATGGATAGGTTTGATCTCCTTGCAGACCAGGGGACTCTCAAGAGTCTCCCCCAGCACCACAATTCAAAAGCATCAATTCTTCGGCGGTCAGCCTTCTTTAGGGTCCAGCTCTCACTTCCATACATCACTACTGGGAAAACCATAGCTTTGACTATGTGGACCTTTGTTTTTTATGATGCTGTCTTGGTTTGTCATCGCTTATAGCAACCATATAAATCAGTAATCGTCAGAATGTCCTGTTTTCAACAACCTTGCTCAGCTCTTGTGCATTCAAGGCTGTGGCTTCCCTTTAGGTCTTTGTCTTTTCCTGCCACGTTAAACTTTTCCTAGCATTATAATCTTTTTCCAGAGGATCTTTC